CCTCTTATATGGTTTTTGGTAAATCTAAACCAAAAATCTCAAGAAAATTGTATAATGTATGGCCAGCCTTAGGCTTACCCACACACATTGCAATCTGATTGCAATCCCCAGCTGTCATTCGTTACAGCACAAGCCAATCAGTGGGTCTTGGCCAAATGATATATGACTGGGACCCACTGATTGGCTGAGCAAATGGCAGAAGAGAGCCCTTTGTTGGTAAACAACACACGACTCTCTGAGGAGAGCAGCAATGTGGCTGTTTTTTTCTCCCTGCAAAGCAGAGGGAAAAAACAGTCACATCCAGGGGCGAACTGACCATTTGGAAACTCGGGCACTGCCCGAGGGCCCGGGGTCAGTTGGGGGCCCCATGAGATGCCCCTGGTACCTTTTTCATAGGTTTTTTTGAGTTTGGGCAAGGACACAGGGGCCCCATGATCCCCTATTGCCCAGGGGCCCCATGGGTTGTCAGTCTGCCCCTGATCACATTGTTTAGTAAAATCAACACACACTACACACTTTGCACTTGTTAGGTACACAGTTAATACTCTCATTGCCCCAAGATGTAGATTGTAATCTCCAAGGAGCAGGGCCCTCATATCCCTCTTGTATTGAACTGTATTCTTGCTACATAAATCCTGTATATACTAATAATAATAATAATAGATGTTAACCCCTTCCCAGCCAGTGTCATTACTACTGTGACAGTGTATAGTATTATCACTGTTCACTGTATTAGTGTCACTAGAGATGTTAGTAGTGGCAGTTAGTCCTACAAAGTGTCAGTTAGTGCCAGATTGTCCGCCATACTATCACAGTCCCAATATAATCAAAAAAATGTAGTGCAGTCAGGGGTGGACTGAAAATTCATGGGGCCCCCCAGGCAATAGGGGATCATGGGGCCCCTGTGTCCTTGCCCAAACTCAAAAAAGCCTTTGAAAAAGGTACCAGGGGCATCTCATGGGGCCCCCTACTGACCCCGGGCCCACGGGCGGTGCCCGAGTTTCCAAATGGTCAGTCCGCCCCTGAGTACAGTACTATAAACTCAAATAAAGTGCTAAATAAATCCAACGTGCATGTGTGAATAGTGAAACAAAAGAAGAGGAGACATTGCTGGAAGTGGCAGCAGAGGAGCGTTTTGGAGCTTAGAAGTGCTGAAGGAGGTGGAGATCTTTATACCAGCATACCCTCCCGGGTTAAAGGGAAAGGTGCAGTTTGACCTGAATATTCAGGTCAAACCAGAAGGTGAGCTCAACAGTGTGTCAGAGGTGGATAAGTACCAAGGGGTAACACAGGAGCACCGAACATGTATACACAGAGTGATTACACACATTCACTTGGAGCACAGCGGTCTTAAAGGGACAGTTCACCAGCATTTAGATACCATAACATTGGGGCACTTGTTGATGGTATTTGGTATATGATGCACAGGAGACATATCGCATCAGCACATGTGAAGATTTTGGAGCATTAAAGGAACCATTTAGACAATTTATTTTGTATTTGGATACACTATTTATTTAGCACTGGTATATCCAGTTTATTTACGTATATGTGTTAATATTTAGTTTGATGCAGCACATATTATTGTCTCATAGCATAATTGTATGTTTCACTATTCACATATGCACGTTGGATTTATTTAACACTTATGTGAGTTTATCGTTTATAGTACTGCACTGCATTTTTTTTATTTATGGTTTATACAGTATGTGGGAACACAGTACATGCTAGCTGCAATACTTGGTATATAGGAGATCCATGGTGCTGTAGGTACTTCATATACATACAGTCCCAATATAAGTCGCTGATCACATATATATAAAAGTTTCTGCACTTTCTTTATATATATATATATATATATATATATAAAAAAGTGCGGAAACATTTGAAGACCCCTTAATAAAATAAATACATAAATAAATTCCAGTATTATTATTATACAGGATTTATATAGCGCCAACAGTTTGCTCAGTGCATTTCAATAGAATGGGAGACAATACAGCAACAATACAGTTCAATACACGAAGGTTAGGAGGGCCTGATCCTGGGAGCTGACAATCTAGGAGTATACTGTATACCAAAGTTTGTAAACACTATAACGTTTCATGCAAACCAATTAACTGCTAACTGAGTAAAAATACAGCTACAGGGCGGCACAGGTGTATATATACGTGATTTTGCAGTTCCGGGTAAGGGGGGCGCAGCGCCATACCCCCACCACCATTCACAGCCTAGGCTGTCAATCACCAGGTCCCTGCTGGTGATTTCCCGCCGATACCCAGTGATCTCTGAAGATTTCCAATGGGAGAGAGACCTGTATGTAAACAATACAAATCTCTCCCCTGTCAGCTCCTGCATACTGCTTTGTATGGCTCTGCATAGCAAGTGTGCTTACAATGAAACACACACACTGCCCCCATATTGAAACAGCACACAGTTAACCCTTTGATCGCCCCCACATGTTAACCTCTGCCTGCCCAGTGCCATTAGTACAGTGTCAGTGCTATTTATTAGCACTGATCACTGTATTGGTTTAACTGGCAATCCCGGTGATTCCCCATCTGTATCCTGTGATCTCCGAGGATTTCCAACAGGAGAGAGACCTGTATGTAAAATTATAGATCTCTCCCCTGTCAGTTCCTGCATACTGCTTTGTATGGCTCTCCATAGCACAGCCATACAAAGCAGTGAGCTTACAGTGAAACACACACACAGCCACCATAGTAAAACAGCACATAGTTAACCCTTTGATCGCCCCACATGTCAACCCCTTTTTGCCCAGTGCCATTAGTACAGTGTCAGTGCTTTTTATTAGCACTGATCACTGTACTGGTGTCACTGGGGATCAGTGACACCAAGTCAGTTTCCCCCAATGTCAGAATGACCGCGCCGCAGTCCCACTATAAGTTGCTGATCGCCACCATTACTAGTAAAAAAAAAAAAATTCCAGTATATATACCGCCATTTGTAAATGGTATAACTTTCATGTAAACCAATTAATTTACACGTATTGGGTTTTTTTTTTTTTTAATCAAAGACATGTCGCAGAATACATTTTGGCCTAAATTTATGATGAAATTCGATTTTTTTACTGGACATGTTTTATAGCAAAAAGTCAAAAATATAGGGTTTTTTTTCAAAATTGTTGGTCTTTTTTGTTTATATTGCAAAAAATAAAAAGCACACAGGCAATCAAATACCACCAAAATAAAGCTCTATTTGTGGGAAAAAAAGGACATGAATTTCATTTGAGTATAGTGTTGCATGACTGTGCAATCGTCAGTTAGAGTAACTCAGCACCATATTGCCTGGTCAGGAAGGGGGGTAAAATCTCTGGAGGGCAATATTGGTATTTTTTTTTACCAAACACATGTAGCAGAATACATTTTGGCCTCAATTTATAAAGAAATTTGATTTTTAAAATGTTTTTATTGAATATGTTTTATAGCAAAAACTAACATTTTTTTTTCATACATAATTATTTAATTTATTTATTTCAGGTACTTATCAAATACAGCGCTTTACATATATATATTGTACATTCCATCAGTCCCTAACCCTCAAGGGGTGTACAATCTAAGGTCCCTAACTCACATTCATACATACACATAGCTAGGGACAATTTAGACAGGATCCAATTCACCTACATTGCAGCATGTCTTTGGAGTGTGGCTTGCTGTGTTTTTTTGTTTATATAATAAGAAATAAAAAAAAAAAGAACCCCAATGGTGATCAAATACCCCCTGCGAAAGGAAGCTCTAGTTGTGTGAAAAAAATATGTAATTTGGGTACAATATTGCATGACCCCGCAATTTCCAGTTAAAGTAGTGCAGTGCTAAATAGCCTGGTCATGAAGGGGGTAAAATCTTCTGGAGCTTAAGTGGTTAAGCTGTGTGGGTTGTGTTGCAAGGTGAGGGTTTACATATTCTTTAATATCCAATCAAAGAATTGAGATTCGAAGTGTATAAATGATACAGTATTTAATAATGCATTATTCTGTTCTATTTGTATTCTTTAAATACATTTTTAAAGGTTTTGTGTTTTCAATCTATTTTTTTTTTTTTTATTGTTTTAGGGAAATTCTGGCCTTGGATTTAGCATTGCCGGAGGTATAGATAATCCTCACGTAGGAGATGACCCGGGCATTTTTATCACAAAGATCATCCCAGGAGGGGCAGCAGCAGAAGATGGCAGACTCAGGTGAGATGAGATAACCTGTCATTTGGTGTGTGCCATCAATTAAAGCATGAAGTTATTGTTTTTTTTTTTATAAATCTATCACATTCATAGCAAAGTCACCACTCTAAAGAGCAGATTAAATCTACGTTAAAACCACATTTGGACTTTATGCTGCCATTGCAGGACAGCCAGCAGAGAAAAATGAGGGGTTTCACAGGGAAATCTGCTATTAGGAAAATGTTATGCTTGCCCTTGCCGACCTTCTACCAAGTTGACGTGTGGCCAGATTGTTTGCTGGAGAAACGTTCCATAATTGTACACAAGTAGCTAAGGATAATACCTTTATGGAAGAACTCCAGGAAGCAGTGGTTATATTTAAAACTGTCCATTTTACAAAACGCCACAGTGATTTTAAAGTGTTACTAAACCCACCACAGTAAAATCGGTCTGTATTTGCAGTAAATCCTCCCTGCGGAACCTAAGGGGTTAGTCTTCTGCATTGGGTAAAAATGCAGTTTGATTCTGTCTTCTCTGATCCTCCCCTTCTTCTACTGTCCCCAATCTATCTGCTGATAGTACAGAGCTCTAGGTGTCACTCTGCACATGCTCAGTTTGGTGTCTATTGCTAGAGAGTTTTTTCTTTTTCCTGGGAGAGTGCATGTGATTAGCACAGAGTCAATCAGCACTGTCCAGACAGAGGTCAGGGGTTCTGCATCCTCCTAGAGCAGAAAGAAAATGCCTCCTGCAAGCTTTAGCCAGTGCTCTGCTGGAGACTGATAGAAGTCACAAGACTGCTATATACTGCTGATGAGAAAAAGTATTTAGCAGTTTATATTTACTCAAATAATTGCATTTCAATTTTGTGTGTACTGTGGGAGACCAGATATAGTGAATGCAGGGTCCGGGGAGACCAGATATAGTGATTGCATTGTCCTGGGAGACCAGATATAGTGAATGCCCTGGGAGACCAGATATAGTGAATGCGGGGTCCTGGGAGACCAGTGTAAATGCAGGGTCCGTGGAGACCAGATATAGTGAATGCGGGGTCCGTGGAGACCAGATATAGTGAATGCGGGGTCCGTGGAGACCAGATATAGTGAATGCGGGGTCCGGGAGACCAGATAAAGTGAATGCAGGGTCCGGGGAGACCAGATATAGTGAATGCAGGGTCCGAGGAGACCAGATATAGTGAATGCAGGGTCCGGGGAGACCAGATATAGTGAATGCAGGGTCCGGGGAGACCAGATATAGGGAGTGCAGGGTCCTCGGAGATATAGTGAATGCAGGGTCTTTGCCCCGTCTCAGCAGTCAGCAGCAGAAAGGAGGACAGAACTCCTACTCCAGATCTTGCAGTTCTCCATGCAGCCATTTCAGCCCCCCGTCTCAGCAGTCGGCAGCAGAGAGGAGGACAGAACTCCTCCTCCAGATCCTGCAGTTCTCCATGCAGTCCTTTCTGCCCCCCATCTCAGCAGTTGGCAGTAGAGAGGAGGACAGAACTCCTTCAGATCCTTCAGTTCTCCATGCAGCTGTCTCTGCCCCCCTCCCCCCATTTCAGCAGTTGGCAGCAGACAGGAGGACAGAACTCCTCCTCAAGATTCTGCAGTCCCTCCATGCAGCCGTCTCTGCCCCCCATTTCAGCAGTTGGCAGTAGAGAGGAGGACAGAACTCCTTCAGATCCTTTAGTTCTCCATGCGGCTGTCTCTGCCCCCCATCTCAGCAGTTGGCAGCCAAGAGGACAGAACATTTTTAAAGGCCCTGGAGCACCAGGACAATTGAATTACCCACAAAACGACCCAATTTTGGAAAGCAAACACCCCAATGTATATTCTATGAGGAATAATGAGTCTTTTAAACGTGTCATTTTTTTCCACAAGTTTTTGAAAAATGTGGAAAGGAAATTAATTTTTTTTTTTTTTTTACAAAATGTTGTCAATTTAAAAGATATTTCTAACAGCAAGTACATACCAAGAATTACACCCCAAAATACATTCTGCTCCTTGTCCTGAATATGACGATACCACATGTGTGGGACTTTTACACATACAGAGGCCCAACATCCAAGTAGCACCATCAGGCGTTCTAGGGGCATAAATTACACTTTTTAATTTTCTGACTACCTATCACATTTCTGAAGGCCCTGGAGCACCAGGACAATGGAATTACCCACAAAATGACCCCATTTTGGAAAGAAAACACCCCAACATATATTCTATGAGGCATAGTAAGTCTTTTGAACATGCAATTTTTTTCCACAAGTTTTTGAAAAATGTGGAAAGAAAATTAAAAGATAATTTTTTATGCAAATTTGTCAATTTATAAAATATGTCTAACACATAGCATGTACTTACCAAGAATTACACCCCAAAACACTTTCTGCTACTAATTCCCTGACTACCTATCACATTTTTGAAGGCCCTGGAGCACCAGGACAATGGAATTACCCACAATATGACCCATTTTGGAAAGGAAACACCCCAATGTATATTCTATGAGCCTGGCCACATACAGAGGCCCAACATCCAAGTAGCACCAACAGGCGTTCTAGAGGCATAAATTACACATCTAATGCCCTGACTACCTATCACATTTCTGAAGGCCCTGAGCACCAGGACAATGGAATTACCCACAAAATGACCCCATTTTGGAAAGCAAACACCCCAATGTATATTCTATGAGGCATAATGAGTATTTTGAATGTGTCATTTTTTTCCACAGGTTTTTGAAAAATGTGGAAAGAAAGTGAAAAACAATTTTGTTTCACAAGGTTGACAATTTATAAGATATTTCTAAACACTGCATAGAGATAGCAAGAATTACACCCCAAAATACATTCTTCTACTCCTCTTGAATATGGTGATACCACATGCATGAGACTTTTTCACAGCCTAGCTGAACAAAGGGTAAACAGCAGTTTACCTGTGGTTGTAGTAGAGAAGTTGTCTGCAGACGAGAGCAGTGGTCCAGGAAGCAGGCAGAGATGTGGTCAGCAATAGTCAAATGAATAGTCCAGGCAGCAGGCAGGAACATATTCCAAAAAAAGTCCTGGATCATTACAGGCAGCAGGCAGAGATATGGTAAGCACAGCCAAAGTACTAGTTCAGGTAGCAGGCAAGAACATGGTCCATAAAACCTCCTGGGTCATTACAGGCAGCAGGCAGAGATATGGTAAGCACAGCCAAAGTACTAGTTCAGGTAGCAGGCAAGAACATGGTCCATAAAACCTCCTGGGTCATTACAGGCAGCAGGCAGAGATATGGTTAGCACAGCCAAAGTACTAGTTCAGATAGCAGGCAAGAACATGGTCCATAAAACCTCCTGGGTCATCACAGGCAGCAGGAAGAGATATGGTCAGCACAGCCAAAGTACTAGTTCAGCCAAAGTACTAGTTCAGATAGCAGGCAAGAACATGGTCCATAAAAAGTCCTGGGTCATTACTGGCAGTAGGCAGAGATATTGTCAGCACAGCCAAAGTACTAGTTCAGGAAACAGGCAAGAACATGGTCCATAAAAAGTCCTGGGTCATTACTGGCAGCAGGCAGAGATATGGTCAGCACAGCCAAAGTACTAGTTCAGGTAGCAGGCAAGAACATGGTCCATAAAAAGTCCTGGGTCATTACTGGCAGCAGGCAGAGATATGGTCAACACAGTATTGGTCCAGGCAGCAGGAAGGAACATCAGGCTTAGGGCCTCAGTCAGATAAGACCTGGCCACAGGGGTAGAGGCTTCATCCCATCCAATCTCTTTGAAGCCTCCAGACTAATAGACCCTGATCTGGAAATTACAAAACCCGGTGAAAACCAAAAACTGTTTTTCTCTACTCTGATGCCCCTCACATATGTGAGACCCCTGTGTTATCTTGCATCTCACTACTACAGTAGCAGGCCATAAGATCAGTTCAAGCGGCAGGCAAACAACATGGTCGATTTACAAGCTGAGGACAGTGTAGGCGAAAGGCAAACATGTGCTTTAGAAACAATCCAGATGACAGGCAGAAGCATCGTTGGTAAACAGGCCAGGATCAGTTCAGGTGGAAGGCAGAAAAGCAGTTTATAAACAATCCAGACGGCAGGCAAAGGCATCGTCGGTAAACAGGCCAAGTTCAGTTAACATGGAAGGCAAAAGCATGGTCAATCAAGGCAGCAGGCAAATGATCAGCGTGGATTTTAGAAACTGAAATGGCAGGCTGTTAAAAATAAGGAGAACTAATATTTTAGTGACATGTGATAACATCAGAAGCAGTCTCCGATGCATAGGCCTGGTTGTGAGGGACATTGTGGACAATGAACACTGGTGTCTTTCCTAATTCCTCTTCTGCCGCATACCCGACATTTTTTTGGGCGTCTTCTTCCTGATTCTGTGGGTGGAATTTTCCACTTGTGCCGATGTAGTTTCGGCACTCAGGGGGCTGGAGCTGGAAGTCTTTGCCTTCGTACACACGGAATACATGCACATATCCTGTAGCTCTTTCGCAGAGCTTGTTCAGCTTCAATCCATACCTGGCCCTTTTACTGGGGATGTATTGCTTGAATCTCAGCCGGCCAGTGAAGTAGACAAGGGATTCATCCACACAAATTTGTTGCTCAGGGACAAAAGGTTCCACAAATCTCTTCGCAAAAGAATTTATTAGGATTTTGTATAACTAGTCATTGTTGGGATGATCTCTGGGAGGGCACTGTGAGTTATCACTGAAATGCAGAAATCTCATGATCAGATCATAGCGTGACCGGGACATTACAGCAGAATAGATGGGCATATGTTGGATGGGGTTGGTGGACCAGTAGGCATGCAATTCGGTTTTTTTTATAAGCCCCATGTTAAATGTAAAGCCCAAAAACAATTTAACTCCTCCACTGTGAGTCATCTTCACAGAAAAGGACGGGCGTAGGATGTACTGGAATTCTTATCAATATACTGCTGAGAAAAAAGGTTCATCTGGTCCACAATGTATTGCAGTAAATTGGCAGTGAAAAACAAATAAAAAACCATAAATTTCGGAAATGTATTCAGTATTGGTCTGCACACCTGGCTGTGCGGTGAAAGGTGGGATTGAAGCTGATTCTGAGCTGGAAGGCAGCCATAAAGGGTTTGCCAGGGCATCAAGAAGATATGTTTGGGCCCTAATTCTTGGGGTCTATTGGGGTGCTCCAGTGCTGGTACTGGGCCTTTCATCCTGGGGTCTAGCGCCTTTGATGTCTGCTGATTGACCACTGTGGTGTATGGCGCTGCTCATTGTTGCATGCTCTTCAGAGTGCCATATCCTTTTAGGAGGGACTGCTTCCTCCTCCGATTTTGGTCACTGACCCACTACTTCCTACTTTTCTTGTATTCCAAATCGGAATCGGATGGTGAGAGCTCCCCGCTGTTCTCATCCGACATGCTGAGGATTTTGAGCGCCTCCTGACTAGTAAAATATTTTTTAGACATTGCGGCTCTGGTGATTGTGGCTGTAGGAGGGATAAACTGCTGATGGATGGCTGTGATGGGTACACTGTTGCTGGGCGGCAGTTGTGTCTACCCTGTGATAAGTACACTGATTAGGGTGCACAGATGGCTGTGGTGACAGGTACACCGATGGGCTGTACTGATAGGTACATTGATGGATGCACTGATGGGATGCACTGATAGATACACTGACAAGTATACTGATGGGCTGCACTGACAGATCCACTGATGGGCTGCACTGACAGATTCACTGATGGAGATGCACTGACAGATCCACTGATGGCTGCACTGACAGATCCACTGATGGGCTGTGCACTAATGGGCTGCACTGACAGATGCACTGATGGCGGCACTGACAGATACACTGATGGCGGCACTGACAGATCCACTGATGGCAGCATTGACAGATACACTGATGGCAGCACTGACAAATCCACTGATGGGTCCACTAATGGCTCCACTGACAGAGCACCTGTCATTACAGCATGCTATTGGCCTCCTATCTGATAGCAATAAAGAGAAGGGTAAAATACACACATGTGAGGGAAAAGAAAGAGGAACTCACAGTGCAGTATTCTTTATGAATTAAAACCATACATTGACTAAATCGCTCAAATAACTAATGGTGGAGCACACTGACTGCTCCAGTGTCCTCCTGTTGTGTGCCTCCACCTCCTTTGCATGTGATAATGTTGGTGTACGTAGCCTGTGACCAACGTGTTTCGTCACTTGGATTTCGTCATGAGACTGGGGATATCGGGCTAGTAGATATCACTGGTATTACCCCTTCTCAA